ACTGGCCCATACCAGCCGTGACTTATGCCAAGCCCGGCACATACCAGCCATGACTCATGCCAAGCCCGACCCATACCGAGCCAATATTGACCCATATCGATACCAGGTCCACGACCCCTCCTGGTATCCGCGCTGCCCCAACACCACAGCGCCCCTCACCACTTTCTCATCTAGCATCTAGAAACGCCTAACAAGTCCAAACAATGTTCAAACTTGTTACTAGTTACCGCTAGAACATCACTTTCACTATAATAAGAGTCGTCGGCTTGAACCACGTTCATAGCTTCCTGCTTCTTCAACTTCTTCCAATCAGCCTCTTCCAGATTAGTTGGCTTTTCCGCCTTTATGGTTTTCAGAAGGCCCTGGTATGCCAACAAATTCATTACCCTAGAGTGCCATAGCCCAAAATTCCCTATACCATCAAACTTTGATACCTCGAATTTTGTACTTGAACTGGTCATCTCAACAGTGCTCTGATACCAATTTGTTGAGATTAACAGGAACAAGAAACAATAACAAATGGCAAATAGGGTAAAGAAGAGCAAGATTTACGTGGTTCGGCAAAATGCCTACATCCACGGGAGTGAAACGATTCTCTTATTATTCATAGTGATGGTGATAGTGATGATGCACCCCTTTAGGGATACAACCAATATATTTATAGGCATCCAATCCCTATACAATAGGTCTACCCGTTTCACTCCTACTCCTAGTATGAGACAAACACTTATTCCTAATCCATATATGAGACAAACTCAACATATATGAAACATGCATACCTGAATTAGGTTGATGAAGATGGATCGGAGATGGAGTTTGGGTAATATGAGATGAGATAGGGATGGTCTGAGTTACGTTATGGAGTAGAGCAGAGAAAATATGGAAACTTAATTGAACTAATCTCAGCTGTTTCTGAATTGAGCGAGCAGAGATGAAATGAGTATATAGCAGAGATTGAGGATGAGAATTGAGAGAGAAGAGAGTTCTGATTTTATCTGATGAATTATTAATGGTGGAATTTAAGGTCTACAGTCTACACCCAACCACCAACTCAAAAGTCAACTGATGGTATGATTGGTATCTTTGGATATTTTTAAATAAAATTTAAATTTCAAGGAAGGTTCCATGTTCACTTGATTGATGAGAAATTTAAGAAGTTGGAAAAAAAAAAAGGTTTAAGGGATACTGCTTAAATAAGATACTGAAATACACCTGAATGGCTGAATATGAGATTGAATTATCGCACTTAAAAAACTATAATTGAATTTTTGAACATTTGTATTCCGTGACAACTATTTAGGTATTACCCGGCTGGCACAAACAAGATTAGTCTGCGTGTATAGATTCACAAAACGAAATGAAAAGGATCCCCGGGAAATGAATTGAAGCAACTGGCAAGAGACTTTTTCGGTTGTTTTTCTTCCTCAAAAGCAGAATGCAAGGTTTCCCCAATCACAAAACTAACAAATTCCACTGTCACTTTTATTATTTGGTAATTCAACCTAGAGAAGAACATAGTAGTTTACAATGAGATCAAGAAATGAAAATAATATTAATCCATGGAATTAGAAGCCACAAGACTAACAATTCCAAATTGTGAATGAGAATTAAAGAGAGGCCAGCCTTAGTTTCGAGATCACAAACACAAAATGCCTAGTCTCTCTTTCTTTGGACTTTTCCACAAATATTGTTTACAGAAGTCACAATAGAAGAATAATTGCTTTCTAACACAATTGATTTCAAAATTCTAATAGGGTGAATCAACGATTTGGTCCCTCACTTATTCGCGACTTGTCAATGTTGCCCCTGAATCACGTATTCATCAATTTAGTCCCTGAAAATAATTGTTTTTCGTCAAATCAGTCCCTATGGCCGTATTCCGTCAAGTCTCAGGCGAGAGCTCCGATTTGTCCTGGGCATTTTGGTCTTTTCACTCCTTCTTCTTCATTAACTCCGACAAAGCTTCGCCGGAGAAGCTCAAGCTCGCCGGAGGGAGCTCCATCTCTTCTCTGATCGTCGAGTGCATGCGTTGAGTGTCTTGAACAAGAAAGGTGGCATATTTGTGATGGATCTTTATGGAGGCACATCATCAGAGTGTGAGCTGCGGCTGCAGAGGAAATTTCCTAATTTCACGGTACGTTTTTCTTTCGTTAGAAGATTGATTTTCAGTCTCTGCTTCATGGCTATTTCACTTGAAAACAAAAAACCATGTTTTTTAAAAATGCCCAGATGGTCATTGCCTGAAATTAAAGACTACTTGGAAGATGTCGGATTTCGCTGTGTCCACTTTTGGATGCGACAAATGCCAGACAGTGAAGATATCAAAAGCACATATGGATTTTCTACTGGACAAGACATAAAATATGAAGAGGTCATTAGCTTCGAACAACAGGATTCATGGAATGCATACATTGTAGGTGTTGCATGAAGTTATCATTGTCACTCAACATAGCAGAGAAGCTGAATACGGAGTAATTCTTTACAAGCATAAAAATATTTTTTTTCCATTCCTTAGCATGCAATTTGAGAATCTCAGCAGCTCTCTCCTTGTTCTTCCCATGCAACCCCACAATCCACTTGTATAACCAAACACAGCTTCGCCCCCACTCCCAGCTGCAACATCTCTTGCACCACACTGGGAGTAGCAGAGAACTTGGCGATGAAGTACAAGATCCTCAGACCTCTCTCATTCGCCACCTGCGACACCCTCAGGATTTTCCTCGACACCACCGCCAGCCCCGCCGCGTGCTTCAGCAGCTCCGCCCGCCCCTCCGTGCACCGGCAAAGCTGCTCCAGTACGCTCAGACTCCACTCGCAATATTGTTTCTCGTTCGTGTCCAGCCGTAGATCGATAAGCACGGTCGCTGCCCCGGCCTCCGCCGCCTTGATCCGGTTCCTCCCTCTCTGGCAAACGTTGGCCAGTAGGTGCAGCGCGGATTTGGAGGCCTTGCGGGAGAAATTGTCTCGCAAGATTTGGACAACTTGGTGGAAAAAGGAGGGGTTTAAGTTTGTCGTGAGCTGTGATAACGAGGGGTTTAAGGTTGTGGTTTCGAGCATTGATTTGAGAAGCATCACTGCATTTCCGGCGTCGACTTGGCTTGCCGGAGGAGCTTTAGGATGTGAGACTTGGTCACCGGAGGCTTTGGGGTGGGGAAGCGCTCGACGCCGTGGGAGGCGTGGAGGGTGCACCACGACTGGATGACTAGCCGGAGAGTGACGTTTGGGGTCAACAACTCATCATCGGAGGTGAAGCTGACGTCGGCGACGATGGAATGAAGAAGAAGGCGTGAAAAGACCAAAATGCCCAGGGCAAATCGGAGCTTTCGCCTAAGACTTGACGGAATACGGCCATAGGGACTGATTTGACGAAAAACAATTATTTTCGGGGACTAAATCGATGAATACGTGATTCAAGGGAAACATTGACAAGTCGCAAATAAGTGAGGGACCAAATCGTTGATTCACCCATTCTAATATTTGCAGAAGTAATCAGAACTTTTTTCAAGTCCCAACAATGTCTCAAGACTAAGAGCTCCAGAACGGGAAAATGATCAACATTTACATTCTAATGTTTGAGATCTAATCGCTCAATAAAAAGTACCTTTAATCCTTCAAAGCACCATTTTATTGACTCCCACTCTAAGCCACAAAATGCAAAACCTTTTAATTTGAGCACTTCATGGTTGGGTAATTAGCCAACTATGCTCATATCCTCTCAAGGGAGATATGTATAACAAAATGCCAACTTCCTTAGGTTTAGGGGAGAACCGTTAGAGAGATAAAAACGTTCAACCCTTCCCATTTCAAATTTTAACCTCTCAGGTCAACGTAAATGGACAAGACTCTCCAGACAACTAGGTGTCATTTCACCTTCAATGTAAATCCCTAGTTCCTATAAGTTTGGAACCACTAAAGTTAAATTTTTCAACTAAGCTACCAACTCTCAACTAATAAAAAGCATTATATTTAAATATGTTGTAAAAGAATACTTAATTGAACAGTGGATTGTTACAACTTAGCCATGGTGACATTGGAGCGGAAAAACATCATAACACCCTGCACGCACAGCTAAATAGTTCAGATCAAATGGAAACCAAAAATACAACATCTTATATTGATGAACCTTTAAGTAGCACTTTAAGAATTGCAGCAAGAAACCCTTCCTGTTTATTTTCTCCCGAAAATTCCAACCAAAGAGACAGATCACCACTAATCTGGATTGGACTGGACAAGTCGCTATACTTATCAACTTCATAAACATTAGCCACTGCATGAACTCATGTATGAAAGCAATAGAGAACTTTTTTTTTTGAATGCTACTAGCTCTATTACATTGTAGTATCTGTTCATATACTTTCTCAACCTACTGAAACACAAAGAGCTAATAACGCCTCCACTGAGGCTTGAACTCACAACCTTCCTAATGGAAGCAATAGAGAACTTATTCATCAATGATGACCTTATTAACTTTAGTCAGGAAGCTACAAGCTGAAAGATAAAGTGAAGTTCAAATACATATTAGAATAACGTCTTTGGACAAAATTGCAATAAATGGTGCATTTATCAACTATTGGATTCTTGTTTTAGTCCCTCGACTAGACGACGGTTGGATTTTGCACTTTTGTGGTTATCAACTTCCAAAATTGACTACATTTAATACCTAACGACTTTGAAAACTTGCCACTTTTATCCCAAGAATAACAAAATTTAGTGCAAAATTTAGTACCTGACTATAGCACTAAAGTGGCAAGCTAAGTTTTAAAAACCCGTACCCATTTTTGATTGATTTTGAGGTTGATGATGGGAAGTACAAATTAAATAGTTCATGAATTAAAGTTGGAAAAAACTCTTTAAGTAAAACTAGAAAGTAATTGGCAATTGCAAAAGTTAATATGGAGTTTTAAGTATAAGTTTCAAAGGTATATACATATACCTTGGCTTTTATAAGTTCATATTAAGCCCAAAGTTAACAAATTCCTCAGTCATTTTCCTCTTAGAGCTTACAACATTTTCCTTTTCAATTCTTTGAATGCATTCAGAGATTTCGACACCTTCTTCTTTAGATATCTCTTCACACTCTTCCGAGCTTTCAATCTTTCTTGATCAGAGCTTATCACACTTTCTTCTTTAGAGTTTTTCACGCTTTCTTCTTTAGATCTTTCCACACTTTCTTCTTCAGAGCTTTCTACAAATTCTTCTTCAGAGCTTTCGTTCTTTGGCATTTCAACCTTGAAAAATAATTGAAAATGAGTACAAAAATAAATAATTAAATTAACACATGGAATCAGAAGGCAGAAAACCAATAATAGTTTCAAAGTATCACCAAAAAATAGAGAAAAACCTTAGTTCCAACTTTACGAACACGAAGTGGACAATCTGCCGTTCCCTCAAACAATAACTTGTTTACCAAAGAAATCTGATTTGCAGAGGTCACAAGAGAAGAATAACAACATTCTAACACAATTAACTTCAGTGTTCCAATATTTGCAAATTTAATTGGCATTTGTTTCAATTCCCAACAATATCTTAAGACTACGCGCTCCAAAACAGGGAAATGATTAGCACTTGCATTCCAATGTTTGAGATTTAACCGTGAGATAAGAAGTGCCTTTAATTCCTGAAAGCCATGCTTCGATGGTTTCCACTTTGAGCCACAGAAAGCGGAATCTTTTAGTTTAAGCACCTCAAGGTGTGGTAACTTGCCAATTGTGTCCATCTCCTTCCATTGAAGATAAGTATAACGAAGTGTCAACTTCTTAAGGTTTGGTGGAAAACCAATTGGAAGATAAAAGCGCTCGACCCTTCCTACTTCAAGCTTCAACTTCTCAAGTAGATGTAAATGCACAAGGCTCCCTAGATAGCTAGGCGCCAATTCGCCTTCAATGTAAATCCCAAGTTCCTTTAGGTTTGGAACCATTCTGAAGTTTGGTTTTCTGTCAGAGTTGGCAACTTTCAACCAATAAAGAGTTTGCAGATTTTTTTTAACTAAGCAAGGGAGATATTGTGAACATCTCTTGTCAACATGCAAATGCCTCAATTGTGGCAAATCCAAAATATTACATCGCATTTGCAAAGGACATTTTTCCATCCATGAAGTAACTATGAGAGTAAGCAAATTTTTAAGCTTACAAAATCGAAGCTTGTAAAGAGAACCAATAGTACTTAAAGCCAAGTATCTCAAATGAACCAAATCTGTTATTTCACTAGGCATGCCTTGTGAGCATTTCACTAATGATAAATCCAATACTCTTAGAAATCTCAAACATGGGTATACCAACCTGCATTTTGAATGGTATACATCTTTACCAAAGCAGAGCATAGAATGGATATTATATATTGTGCAATTCCCATAACTTGCTTGAGTAATTGGCCAATGACTTGTTTGACAACTTAACCAATGACTAACTTTTGGAGCATCATTGCCATTGATAATGCACAAAGTATTCCCCGTTATAGCTTCTCTCACACACACCTCGTGCACTCGATCATGAACCTTACATGATTTAACTTTGCCGTCAACACTTAGCTCATTAATTTGAACTAGACTTCTATTAATGAGATCACGCAAGTAACTCTCTGCCACTTCTTCCAAACTCTTATTTTGATGTGGCATTAAAAATCCCTCAGCAACCCATAAGTTGTTTAATCTCTTAATAGGAATGACATTGTCTTCAGGAAACACCCCAAAATAATGAAAGCAAGGTTTCAAGTGACGAGGTAAGTACTTGTAGCTCAATGAAAGTACTTTTGAAATTTTGTTGTTACTATCATACGTTTCTACTCCATCCAAAGTTTCCGCAACATCTCTCCATATTTCTAGAGAATCTTTTGCTGTTGCCAAAAGTCCAGCAATCACAATAACTGCCAGCGGTAATCCACTGCAGCCAAGAACAATTCGTTTGCCAATTAACTCGTATTCCCTGGGAACAAAATGGCTTTGCCCAAACACCTTCGTCGAAAATAATTCCCAACGATCCTCTATAGTTTGATACTTCATGTAATAGGGATCAACACTCAAGTATTCAGCCACATTTGTGAACCGAGTAGTTACTAAGATTCGGCTTCCATTAGAATTATCTGGAAAACATCCTTGGATGGCATCCCATGCAGCAGTGCTCCATATGTCATCTAAGAGAATTAAATACTTCTGGCCCATCAAACTTCTGCATAATTGCTCAGCTATTTGAGCATTGTCTATGTTGTAGATTTCACTTGTTATTGGTGAAATACAACGTAATAGACCAATGAGCATCTCTTTGAGGTTATGAACTTGAGACACAACTACCCACGCTCGAATGTGAAACCAACCAATAGTAGTTGGATTTCCATAGACTCTTTTGGCTAATGTAGTTTTTCCTATGCCTCCTTCCCCGACAAGTGGGATAACTTGTAGATTCATCAGCTCAACATATTGCTGAGATATGTCAGTGTTAAAATTCCTTAAAATGTTGAAAACTGATCTCATCGAGTGTGCAAAACCGAGTCGGGTAATAATCTTCTTTATATCACGGTCGAATCCTACAATTACTTCATTCTCAAGCTCTAAAGCATTTTGGAAGGTATCCCAAACCGTGATATTCTCTTCCTCATTATCAGGCTCTAAAGCAATTATCTTTTTTATCTCCAGGATCAATTCTCGAGCTTCCTCAATATCTTCTACCACTTGTTTCAAGGTCCGATGAAGTTTATCAACATATGCAGACTCATACTGTCCCCAGTTAGCTTCAAAATATACTTGTCTCAGTTTAGATTCTATTTTGTAATCTTTATATCTTCTAGCAACTTCATCTCGGATTGCTTCATAGATGCCCCAGTGATGCATTTTCGTCTTATACTCCTCCAAAAAGGCTTGCACAAAGCAGAGCTTGGGAGACAGCAACTTGATCACTTCAAGCAGCGACGCCTTCATTCCTCCAGCATCAAAAATCGAAAGTAGTCTAGGCTCCATAAGGTCTTGCTCTACTATTTTGATTAGAGTGGTTACAGCATCCAAAGCCATTGAACTTCTCTAAAGTGTTTAATTTCTGGAACCCATATCAGATCGACTTATTAGTCTCAATTATTGAGCAAGAAATGGAATGATTATAGCAGAGATAGAGATAATGGTTAAAATCTTCTGAATTATTATTATTAACATAATAACTTTTAAACATTGCCTTGGATTATTAATGCCAACTTGCAGAGCATTGAAAAACAACTCCTTGTGCCCCAAAGTGGGTTTCCAACCCAATAGAGTCGTCTACACTTCAACGAGTGGATTAGTGACTGTGTCCAACCGTGAAAACCGGGTACACCCAAAAAAAATAATAATAATAAAATACAACAATGTGCGGTGGCTTGATGTCAATGATCATTATATTACATATAGCATCCTCTGGAGAATCATTGCATCTTTCAGTTAGTTCTCACCATCACTGATGTTTTTTTTTAAACAAATACCTTTTTCACGGATCTAACCGCTCTAATAGTTACCACACAAATCTAACCGCTCTCCCAAACTGACACTAAGTCTTCATGAATGAAGACTTAGGGTCATATGCTTACTGTCAACTCTAGTTTCAATTCATACATGAAGACACAATCAAAATGAGATAAATATTATAAATTTAGGGTCCGTTTGGAAAGCAGGAAAATGACTTCTGGAAAATAAGTCATTTTTCAGAAAATATTTTTCTTTCCAGTGTTTGGTAGCATTTTGGAAAACTTGGTGTGTTTAGTTTATTTTCTAGAAAAATGAGTAGGATTGTACGTTTAAACATTCTGATGGAAAATGACATCCCCAAATTTTGGCAGAAGTCATTTTTCGCCAAAATGGCTTCATTTTCCCCGTCAACGTAAAATGTTTTCGGTTGACTGAATTTTTCTGTTGCATCCTAACACTGAAAACTCGAAAAACATTTTTCCTGATTTCTAAACGGACCCTAGTGAATACATAGCAAAATTGAGCCTAAGTCTTCATGAATATTTTCATACATAGTGATCACTCAATCAAAATGATGAGATAAATGTTTTGAACTTAGTGAATTGAGAGGGCAAAACATAATGCTAAACTATATATATTTAAGCAAAAAAAAAAAAAAAAAAAGGAATTGAGTGACGTTGGAGAAAGTATGAAACATACCTTAGGTTGATGAAGATGGAGATGGAGTACAGTTAGAGAACCGGGTTTGGATAATATCAGATAAGAAATGGTCTATGTTACGTTGTTGAATTTATGGAGTAGACCAGAGAAAACATCATAGGCCAACTTGAACTAACTCAGGTGTTTCTGAATTGAAACTCAGATGAGATGAGATGAGAGTTGTTGAGCGAGCAGAGATGAAATGAGTATAGCAGAGAGGATAAGAGTTGAGACAGATCTGATGAATTATTGATGGTGGAAAGGTCTACGTACAATCTACACCTAACAAACAAGTCAAAAGTCAACTGATGCTATCTTTGGATTTTTTTTTTTTTTTAAACATAAAATTTAAATTCCAAGGAAGATTCCATGTTCAATTGCTTGATTGATAAGTTTTTTTTTTTTTTTTAAGTGACTAGGAAAATTTGCAATCACTAATCTGTAAAGGATCACAAGGTGCTAAACCTACTTAGGTTGCTCAGAGTTGACCGTGGTTTTTGTGAGTTTTGAACTTGGAACCTTAGCTTGTTATTACCAAGTCAATAGTCTAATAACCAACTTCGTTAAGTTGCCCAGATTGATGAGGAATTTAAGAAGTTTGCTAGTTGAAGAAAATTCAAACTTTTCTATAACTATTACACTCAACAATTATAGTATCAACTTTAAAAATAATTCAATTATTTTAATTTATGCATTATATGTACCTATAATATTTGAACATGTTTTTATATATGTAAAATATTTTTTTAAAGAGTTTAATTTTGATTTTTTAGATGTATAAAGTAAATTTTGTTTATACATTATTTAAAAAAAATGATGTTATGTTGTAATTTTAAATAATTGTTAGACAAACTCAATAAAATCGAGTTAGATTGAATTTTTTTATTTATTTATAATTCTTATAAAATACAAATGTTTGATATTAATTTATTATGGAGTAATTTTTAAAAATGACTTAATTGTTATGTATAATTAGGTATAATTTTCACAAATACAGTGGATTGTTACAACTTAGCCATGTGTCATTGCCCATTGGAGCAGGAAAACATCATAACACACAGCTGAAATTGTTCAGATCAAATGGAAACGAAAAATACAGCAACATCTTATATTGATGCACCTCTGAGCTGCACTTGAAGAATTACAGCAAGAAATCCTTTCTGTTTGTTTTCTCCCGAAAGCGGGATGGGGAACATCGCTCAATATATCAACATATATGGTTGTTATCAACCTCAAATGTCAACCACATTTAATACCTAACAAACTTTGAAAATTAAACTTGCCACTTGTAACCCAACAAGAACAAAATTTAGTTCCAGGTTTAGTACCTAACTATAGGACTAAAGTGGCAAGGTTTAAAAACTCAGGTACCAAATTTTGATTGATGGTGAGGTTGATGATTGGATGTACAATTGAAATAGTCAATGAACTCTTTAAAGAAAACTAGAAAGTAATTGGCAATTGCAAAAATAATATGGAGTTTGAGTATAAGTTTGTATATACTTCATAAGTTCATATTAATCCCTAATTAAATTAACAAATTCCTCCGTCACTTTCTTCTTAGAGCTTACAATACTTTCTTCTTCAATTCTTTGAATGCATTCAAAGATTTCGACTTCTTCTTCTTTAGATATTCCCTCACACTCTTCCGAGCTGCACATGTAGCCATTTGCACTCATTTTAGTATTTTATTCTGCAACCAACTCTTCTGTTTTTCTATGCATATATATATATATATATATATATATATATATATATATATATATATATATATAGAATAAGAATCATATAGGAACCATTCAGTAGGTAGGAACCTAAGAACTAATCTAAACCCTTTATTTTTTTAAATCTACGGTGCATTTTTAATATGATGTAATTTGTCTGGTAACGGTGGTTGAGTTTTATTTTTGGGCATCCAGGGGTATTTTAGTAACTCAAAGTAGTGCATGTTCGTGAAAGGGTAGGATTTGTGGCTCATTCTTCGCATTCTGGGTAGAGTTATTCACCGTAGCTTTGACTGTATCGTAGACTCCATCTTCTCCACACTCGTTGGCTCTCACTTCTCCCCTCTCTACGTAAGTGATCGCTTCATCGTCTGTGCTTGAGTTTCCGTCTAAGATGGTCGGCGGTGATGAACGGAACCCTAAGCGCTTTCGTCTGGCGTCGACGTCATTCGCTGCTCGAGGTGCGTTTGCTCTTTTTTTTTTTTTTGCTTTGAATTGCTGCGCGATTTATTTGCATATTTAATACTATATTAGTTGTAGATTTGTTAGAGTCTGCTTGTTTTGCATTTGTCTATGTCGTGCGTTTTTGCATGTTGCATTTAGTTTTTTTTTTTTTAAGTTACCGTCAGTTTCCAACTAGTTTTTTTGTTGATTGAGTCTTTAAAATTTTTGAATTTTGATTTTATGTTTGCCAATCACCTGTACACATGCATACACGTCGTTTTGACCTTAATAGTCAGGTTTACTGTATGTTTACACTGTTTGGCACACACGGATACTCTTAAATGCTCACAGATTTGTTTAATTCTTTTATGTTCCGTCTTTTGTTTCCTGAAACAATGTCGTTGTTGTTCATTTTAGTTTCATTGCATCCTAACGATGTGTGCGCTTTGGTAGAAAGACTTTTTGTCAGTGTTCCATGATGATGTGATTGATGAACGGTATGGGGTTGTTGTACGGAGGATTATCCCTAGAAGGATGTAGACGCGTTGGCATGATGCACATAACAAAGTCGATTGCGGGGTCTTTGCGATGCGGCACATGGAGACTGCCTTTTAGGTAGGAACATAGGAACCCATCCAGACTGACAGACTGTCTATTGTAAGTGATCAATGGTTATTATTTATTTATTAGTTTTAGGTGTTTTTAATGCTATTTTTCCTTTTATTTTTTGATTTGGGGGATAGTTTGGGCATTTTGTATTCTGATCGCGTTGGGGGTTGCGAATAAGGCGCCAGGTTTTACAGTCCTTCTCTGCAACGTAGCTTCAGTCGTTCGTTTGACTCTCGGTCTGCTCTTGCGTCTACGCTTCCGCTTTCACAACCCAAGCTTTCTCGTTCATCCGTCGCGGTTGTCCGGTTCGTGGTCAGTAATCGCCGTTCTTGTAGTCGTCGTGCAGAGTTCCTTCGCGTGTTAGTCTGTCTCACTCGTCGCTTGCCCTAGTCGTTGGCGTGGTAGGGTTATGGCCAACGTTGGTGGTCGGAATGCTAAGCGCCATCGTCTTGCAACCAATGCTCCTCGCGCAGGTTTGGGATTTCATTTTTTTTTTGTTTTATTTGTTTTGTGTTCATTAGTTGGTTTTGCTAATGCATTAAATTGATTTCCTTGTGTAGGTTTTGGATTAGTGGATAGTGTTGGATTTGATGAAAGGGTGTCTTTCTACCGTACCTAGTGTTTTCAGTCTTGGGTTTTTGTTTTTGTTGTTCTCCCTGTTTTGGTGCTGATCCTATGAGTTTTAGCTGTGTTTTCAACTTTTTAAGGTTGTGAGTGTGGCTTGGGTGGTGTTTGGAGCGTGGTTTCGTTGTCTTCAATTTTTTGTTGTTGGTAGGATGTTGGGGTGTCCTACGGTTGCTGATGGGTTGTGGTTCAGTGTGGTCCTTTGGCACTATATGCCAAATTTCTCCTTTTTTGGGTTGTTTTATGTTTGTTTTTTTGTATGTTTTAGTTTACTTTGTTGTACTTTTTGAAATTTGTTCTACACGTTTTGGCACCCACAGGTAAACCAATGTGCACACCATCGTGTATCACAATAGTTTGGTCTCTGTTTTGTCAGACACTGTGGCTCACACCAATATTCCAAAGTGCACATGCTTTGTTTACCGTTGTTCACACACATTCTATTTTTGCCCGGATGTTTGATTTTGTTGTTTATTT